AATAAATAAATTAATAGTTTCTTATACTGAATTGCCTCCAAAGTACCAGTTTATTATTTGTACCCGTTTTTCTATTGTATAAACAGTCAGCATATCAAATTTTTATCTTGACACTTACGTGGTTACATCCAAAAAGAACCACATAGTTTAGCGTTTGGCCCTCTCGTATGCAGTTTCCCATTTAACAGAACAGACGAAGGGCGATGTTGTCGAAATTATCTTGTTTTATTGGAAATTAGGTTACAGTTTACTATAAATTTCGCATAGATTTTTAAGAAATTTTTTGTACCAGTATTTGTGCCAATTAGAGTTATTGTTAATATTATCATCCAGTTTTGAATTGCAATATAATCGCGCCACTGATCGCCAATTTTTGAATCAATTCAATGTTTTAATTCAAATATGTAATAAGTCAACCCTGCATGAGTTTTTACGTATAAGCTGTAATGGAATAATCATCTGGCGTTTACTAATGGGCGTGCATGAGGAATGTGGAGGGGAGAACAACAGGAAGTATGATTGTTGTCTTTGTCTATTCCCTGAAAATATGATTTTATATCTGTGATAGATATCCTGTAAATTCTACTATACCCACCATAAACTTTTACCTACACATTGGCAATATTAATAATCTTAGAAATTACCAAAAATCTAATTGCAGTACAAAGTTCCTCAAGATTGGGGATGTACAAAAAACAACTACCTCAAAACGTTAGCTCTTTTCGTTATGGTAGAAGAATATCTACTTCAGAATTATCAAAAAGACTATTTGTCTATATCTATCAAATCTTAATTGATTCTGTTTATATGTGAAATTATATTTATGATTAATATCCGCTTTTACAAAACAATACATTGCTTTTTTATATTACCACGTAATCTAAGATAAATCCTATACAACAATTTTTCTGCTTTAGCAGATTTAATATAAAACATGTAAAACATAAAATCAACAGATATATTGATCAGTCAAAGTTAGATAGTACTATTGACTAGATATCTAATATTTTTCAAAAGTTTAATAAAAATGGGGTAATTTTTGGATTTTTTGGTAGAACAGTCTTCGTGCCAAGTCTAAATTATTACAACAATAATTCAGAGCAACTGCATATGTCGTTCTGATGAGATCTAAAGAGCTTGAAATACATATAAGCAGCTTGCGGGTCTCTGCATCGAAATAAAAATCTAATACCGTCATTATATTTTAGAAGTTCTTGTTCTTTACTCTGTTTGAAATACCAGAAACTAAATTTACTAGATAACTTAGATTCTCGTGGAAGTAGATGAGAAAAATATTTTACCGTTAGTTTCATATTCTTTACATTCATACCTTTTTACTGTAAATACATTTACATGTAGGAACTATAATTCAATTCCGTGAATCTCTATAGTATCAATATATACATTGAATTATTTTACCCCATTTTTATTCATTTATAACTACCTTGAGTTGCTAATATTTTTATACACCCGTTTTTTATTTCATATTGACGTATGACAAACATATTTTTAGTCTTTTCATATAACTGAGGCTTTTGTGACAAACACGCCTTGTTTTAGAAGTGTTTTATGTGGAACTGAATATATTTTGGGAGGCTTGACGTATTAAGTAAAAGTAAAATATTAGGTAAAGACAGTCAATATTTAAAAACTTCTCGTTTATCTGAGAATATTCATACAGAGACTCATACAGATACATGGTCTCAGGTTCAACACTTCCACAATTGGGAGTCTTATGTGACTTGTATGGGAGTGACTAATGTACACCTTCTTCTTCTTCTTCAGATGCAATTCCACTAATGGATGTTAGCGATCACATTTTCCATTAATTCTCTATTTCTTGCAATATGTATCAGAGATTGTAAGTCGTTAATCCCTGTCCATTGCCTTATGTTTCGGAGCCAGGACATTTTCTTGCGTCCCATTCCTCTCTTGCCTTCAATTTTACCCTCGATTATAAGTTGGAGGAACTGGTATTTTTCATTTCGCATGATGTGACCTAGATACGCCGTTTTCCTTTTCTTGATGGTTTCGAAAAGTTGGCGTTCTTGGTTTATTCTTTTAAGGACACCTATATTTGTGATTTTCGCTGTCCATGGTATTTTTAGGATACGGCGATAAAGCCACATTTCAAAAGCTTCTAATCTGTTTATATCCCTCGTTTTGAGTGTCCAGCCCTCTACGCCATATAGCAGCTCTGACCATACGTAGCACTTAGTAAACCTTAGTCTTAGTTGAAGATCAAACTCTGAACAAGTCAGTACTTTCTTGAATGTTACGAAAGCTTGTCGAGCTTGCTCAATGCGACATTTTACTTCCCTGTCCGATGCCCACTCTTCAAAAAGTCACGATCCCAGGTATTTAAATTTACTCACTCTTTCAATGGACTTAGTATTCAGTGTTATGGTGGATATCTCTTATCCCATTCGCTTACTGTATTCTCCGATTATAGTGACAAGTTGTTGAAGATCGACTATATTGTCACAAATTAAGACACTATCATCACCATATCGTATGTTGTTGATCAATACTCCATTCACCTTGATTCCCATCTCTGCATCCTCCACAGACTCTTGAAATATGGCTTTCGAATAAATGTTAAATAAAAGAGGGGAAAGCACACATCCCTGTCGAACGCCTCTTCTTACATGTATGGGTTTGGATATAGAATTGTCTATTTTTAACTGTGCCGTTTGATGCCAGTAGAAGTTTTCAATGCATCTTATCTCTTTTTGGTCTATATCAACTTTCTTGAGAATCTACATTAACTTGTGGTGTTGGACACGATCAAACGCTTTTTGGTAATCTAAAAAGCATAGGAACACATCCTTCCTCTGATCGTAACAATTTTGGACCAGCACCTGTGTTGCTACTATTGCTTCTCGTGTTCCTAAACCTTGCCTAAACCCGAACTGGGAATCACTGATGTCCCATTCACATTTTTTGTATAATCTTTGATGTAGTATTTTGTACACCTAGTAAGTTTTAAACAACATTGCTTTTTAACCTTTTAACCAAAATGTAATCATTCCGTTTACGTTCACTAAAGTGGTAATACTTATTCCAGGTAAATCCACTGATAATAGACTTGATGATCAGAAAACGTTTTGCTGAAATGTAGCCCGAAACGTTCTTTTTATAAAGGATTTTTAAATTAAACTTTTGTGATTTACGATATAAAGCTAACTACAATTTTATTTTCCCTGTGAATATTAAATTAAAATAAACATGTCGCAAAAGCCTACAATTATATTAAATTTTAACTTAAAATTAGAACGTAGTAACAAATTTATACATTTTTAGTGAACGGGAGCAAATCTATATTAATCCTAACATAGAGCTAACCTGTTAAGCAAAGAAATCACAAACACACTTTTTTTGGTTCCCTCTGCATAATTTTTGAATACTTCATATCACAGAAATGTCTTATTAATTTTTATTCTAAAAGCCACATTAAATGTTAACATTGACTTTATAAGCCACATTTTTCGCGACAGAAATACAAGCTTTTTGGTTTTTCAGACATGAAGATTATTCTTAGAATTTTTGTTCTTAATATTATTATTATTATTATACATATAATTATAGAGTCTTGCAAAGTGGTATATATGTTCTGTCAAAACAAAATATATGAATGGTATATTTGATATATTGATATTAATATATTTTATTTATTAGTTGTTATATTTTAAAAATATATAAAATTTAATTACTTGTACATAATTTGGGGCATAGCTATGAGTTATTTTTAAGCTTATGAAATTTGCTATACAAAACATAATAAATAAGTAGGCATTGTGTGGTTTATTTCATAAAGCTTTGTACCTCAAATTCTAAAATTAAACAGTGTACATATATTGTAAATATTGTGTAAAAGAATACAGAACTAATAAAAACAGGTAAAGGTTAAGATATGGCAAAATTTTATTTGTAATATTCATTAGCCAGTTGTAAATAAAGTTTCTCCCTAATGCAATAAAATAACATATTTATATCCAAATATGAGTATGCAGGTACCACTAAACTAATAAATTTCAAATTTTATTCACAAGCTTAAAAATGTAGCGTCATTTAGGGTTAGCAATATTTTTATTATACTTAGTCTTATTTATAAATGTATGATAATTATTAGGCCCCTGACGAACACATTGAAATATTTAATATTACGAAAATATTAAAAGTACAATCAAGATACAAGATCAAAGTCCAATTATAAAACCGCTAAAACAAAATGATCAATTAAATAAGCAGATATATGTAAATCCATTTAGACTTATTGCAAATAAATTTTTTAATAATTGATGGATTCGGCCGTTACTTGATGAAAATTTATTTTATGTAACAATAAAATACTGAAAACTTTGTTTTCAAAACTTCCAAAAAATTTATTTTAAACTCTTATAACTACAGCTGTCTCGGCTGATTGCCTTTCTCAAGTGATCTATTTTTGGCATGCGTTTACACTTTATAGTCTCTAATGAAGTAGGTTAAGGAGGGGAGAACTGTTTGTCTCAGGTTGCTCATTCAGAATTATATCTGTATTTTTTAATTTGTTGATTTCCTTAGATTCTAACAAAAATAGCTTAAGGCCTTTATTTTAAGTGTGAAGAATTTTAAATTCGTCGTTAAAAAATGATTATGATCTAGAAGGTGAAGTGCGTGTGTAGAATCTGTTTTTCTATTATTGAAAGTTCTGCTATTCGTTTATTAAAATTTCTACTAGTTTAACCGATGTAAGTTTTGTGTGTGTATTTTTTATTTTTACTTTTGTTGTTTTTAATATATTTGCCTAGGTTGTTATTTGTTCTGAAAGCTGGTGTTATTCCTTTCTTTTGTATGTGTTTGGCTAGTTTTGTTGATATTTTTCCTTTATATGTTATATAAAGTTTTTCATTTAACATTTTACTAATAGTCTATTCGTTGTATCCATTGTTTACTACTATTTGCCTAATGATATTTAATTATGTCTCAAAGTTGTATTTTGACATCAGAATTTCTGTTAATCTATGTAACATACTATGATAGGCTACCAGTTTATGTTGTGTGGGATGGGATGATGAATTATGTATAGTCGTGTCAGTATGGGTAGGTTTATGAAATACGGAGAACTCATGTTTGTTTTTAAGTCTGATAATTTTTAAATCTAAAAAAATTATGGATTGATTTTGTTCTGTTTCTATTTTAAATTCAATATGACTATGAAGTGAATTAATATACGATAAAAATTGATCGACTTGCCTGTTAGTTCCTGTGAAACATACTAGTACGTCGTCAACGTATATCCACCAATATAAACACTGTTTAAATATGGTATGTTTTGAATTCTTTGTGTTAAGATGATCCATAAAAATATCTGATAGTAACGGGCTTAGAGGATCGCCCATTATAAGTTTTATGTGCGTTTACTTTTATTTCGAGCAAAATAGAAATTTGAAAAATTGAGTCCTTGACATTTCCTGCTCTGGTGAACAATTTTTGAATTGGTGCTGGTGCTTACAGTATTTCTACTTGGGACAGCTGGACTGGTTATGAATAAATGCAAAAAACAACAAACAAAAATGAATGGACACACCTAAGGTAGACTTAGATCCAACGATGGGTGGAATAGCTGTTGAATACTAGTAGCAATTACTTTATTAATTACTGCATGTTTTATAATTGAAATTTGTTGCAAATCTTATCAAAGACCTATTAAACAAAAAAGTATAATTTTGTATCTCTATCAGAAACAATTTCAAACAGATCTCTCTCTAAGAATCAACATTATCTAAATAGCTTAAACAGGAAATATAAATTTAGAGAATGTTGTTATTACTAAGTGTACACATGATATATTTTTCGCAAATAGTTCAAGTATTATTGCATTGACAAAATATTTTTTACTGATTCGTTATTGTATACTGTAAAAGCTCCTGATTAGCACTTCCTTTATTTAGGCCAGTAAAATTAAATTGTAATACATGTTTTAAGTAAAGAAATTCATTTTAGAACAAATCCTTATATGGATTTATATCAGAAGTATCAGTTAGTCGTTGACTATATTTGACATATCATATCGTATCGTTGACAATATTCAAGAAAGAAGATGAAGAAGATTCCAATAATTATAGAGGTATAAATCTACTAAGCACCTCAGTTAGGCTTACCACAAAAGTCCCAACCAACAAAATCAAGAAACTAACAACTTTATCAGATGAACAACAGGGATTCAGATCCGAAAGATCCTATGTATACGCCTTATTTGTACTAAGACATATTACAGACAATGCTATCGAGTACAAAAAAGAAGCATATCTGTTTTATAGACCCGACAAAGGCTTTCGATCGTATCTAAGTCAAAGACGTCTTACACTTACTGTATATATCTACTTCCATAATCGAATACAGGCAAAGATAAATGAAAAACTAACACAGTGTATACCAGTATAAAGCGGAGTCAGACAGGGGGGCTCGTTAAGCCCACTTCTCTTTAATGTAATAATGGACAAAATTTTATATTATAAAAAAATCCAAATAATATGTTACGCAGAAGACGCCACATTAACCGCCGGGATAGAAGACGAGCTCCAACGATTAACACACATGTTCAATATAACAGCTAAGGAAAATAATACGATAATATCAGGGAAAAAAAAACCAAATGACATCTAAATACCCACTTCAATGTAAAATGGAAGTTGATGGAAAAATAATAAAGCAGGAAGCGAGGTTTAGATATCTGGAAATAGATATAACTAATTGCGGAGATGTATGATAACAAAGCTTAAAAGCAAATACAGCGGAGGGATCTCTTGACACAATCTGGAAGAACCTAAGACAAGACACAAAAAAAAGAATCTATAAAGCAGCAATTAGACTTATAGTATCATACAAGGCGGATACAAGATTTGACATATCTAAAGCGAGACGACTACTAGAAACAACAGATCCGACGAATATCAGGGAAAACTCTGTTGGATAGGGAGAGACGTGAAAACATAAGAAGAGCATGCAATATAAAAGACGTAAATGGATGGGTGACAAAACGAAAACAGGAGTGGAACTAACACATTAGTATAATAGCAGAGGGTACGATAGTACAAATAGCATGATGTAAGTCACAAAATGGACGAAGAAGTAGGCTTTAAAGCCTACATATAAGAAGGAAGAAAACGAAGAAGACAACTACGCCTAGATTGCGTTTTCAAACGCTATCGTCGTTATTTCTTTGGTTTGGTAGTTCCTTGGACGTTCGTCGCTTTCACCGCGGTGAACTGTTTTTGAGAATGAAAACAAACAGAATATTTAGGTACAATTAACTTATTACTCCAAACATACAGTAATAAATTCTACCACAATTGGATGCTCCGTCCCTATTTCGAGCTGCTGTCAATAGAATAAGATGGGTCGATGTGGTCGGCCAACATCTCTAGAAGATAGGCACATTTAGCGAAAGAAGTCTCTTGGCCAGAGTCGTATTGCGTGATTTGTTGATTTACTTTAACATTCGTTACAAAAATTATGATCGAAAAACACGTCTCTTTCGCTGTCCTAATTTATAAAAAAATAAAAAACTAGTTCCGATGCAAAAAATCAGTGTTATCGCTTAAAGTGTAGTTTGCATCCATATCATGTTCAATAAATGATATCAAAGAATTAACTGTTTAATTGATAAAAAATCCGAAGCTTCAACTTACGTTTGAGTGGTCCAATCGTTCAGAAGAAGGCAAACTTTAAGCACATTTTAGGACCTGGTGGTAGTGGTTGTGGTGAATGTACAGATGGAGTATTTTAATTGAAGGAATTGATATAACAGATCCAGAATTTACTGTTATTAAATCCAATGAGGATGTGGAGGACATTTCTAGAGAGGACAGCAAAAATGTCATAAAAAAAGGTTAAGACTACTGGTTTTGATCTAATACCATATAGTATGATTGGCAAACTTGCTTAGGTGGAATTGGAATTATTGTCAATAATATTTATTCAAATAATTAAAAGAAAAGCTGGCTTTCCACAAGAATGGAAAAATACTCTTGTTATTCCTTTCCATCCAATCCACATTCATAGTTTCTCTATTCGGGGCATATTTACGAAAAATATACCCAGCGAATAAACAGCTTCTACTGTAAGAATGTTAAAAAAACTAAAAATCTATTAGTTTGAGAAGCTAAGAAAAGTATCAGAAGCTGCAAAATTATTTATTTGTTACATCAACATTAAATGAAAAAGTCAATGAAAACCAATTCTAAGTACACTTTACTCAATAATAATAGCATAAAAATAATGACTGTTCAATTGCTACGAAAACTTTGAGCAAAGAAAGTTAGTGGGGTTATTACATCTTATTCAAAAGTCAAAAATACATTTTTCCTACGTTGCAGCTTTTATACAAACGTGTCACTCAAATTTGTGAAATACTTGCAAAAAATATGTATTCAAATCATTCTTTACATACATAAAAATCATCACAATATCTAAAACAGAGATTACATGTTATGTGAATATTAAATATTTTTCTATTTAATTAAATTATAAATAAATCCCAAATGATTTATATACAGCCTATGCATTATTTTAAACAGTAATTATCCATTTGTGGATATAAAACCCTTGCTGTCGTCGAATAATTAAGACTAAATCTTTATTGTGATTCTCATACGGTCAATCTGTGTCAACTATTTCTCGTCTGTCTTAAAACGTGTTCTATATTGATACATTCTAGAACAGCAGCTCCTACAGAACTTCGTCTAGAGCTCATCGGTGATACTATGGTCCATTTGTTGGATCTTGGATCGTATTGTTCCACAGCGTTGAGACTAGATGAACCATCGTTTCCTCCAAGAGCATATATAAAGCCGTCGATAGCTACTACTTCGTGAGTGGATCTAAAACATACAATATAATTGTGATTAAAAACTGTTTTGTACACCAAATATAAACAAGTCTCTCGCGAAATGTTAATTTAATATCGAAGTTGTATATACAATACATCATATGTTGTATTACATAGAAATAGTATATAACACACAGAATTGCGTCTTAAAATCTTCGATAAGAATAAATAAAATCTGGTGGTTTATTTACTTTGACCAATGCCGACTCATAAAGCACAATGATAAAAGCCGACTAGGAGAGTTTTACCGGAATGAGATCATCGCAGCCTTAGAATCGGGATTCCTGTTAAGATCGTTTGGGGGTTAAGCCAAAATGATTTAATCTGGCGAGGGACAGACGTTTGGATAGTGCCATGTAGAACCCGAAAATACAACACACAGAATATAAAAAATGGGATTTATAATCAAAGATGAAGAATGTTAAATACATGCATATTAGAGAAAGACAGCTTACATAAACTTGTAAGTGTTATAAAACTGTTGGAACATTCTTATAATAAATACAGACAATAAATTAGATTAATAAAAACAATTAAATATGTACGGTTTACTTAAAATAAATACATTTGCACTGGTATAAATAAAAATTAAATTACCTTCTACTATTCATGGAAGTTATTGGTTCCCAAGCGTTTCTTCTCACATTAAATCGTTCTCCGCTAGCCATGCACATAGTACCATCATTCCCGCCTATACAGTACAGCTGTCCATTTAAAGCTGCAACTCCACAACTGCTCCGTCTTGAAGACATCGATGGTACTGATTGCCATGTACCTTCCCGTGGATCAAATCTAATAACAACATAATTATTCTACCAAATTATTATTTCAAATTATTTTAGCTGCTTTGGTTTTTGATAGATCTATCATTTATTAACCAATAAGTCAATTTAGTGATTATTTTTCGATATTCTCATTCATTTTCTAATGAGATACAAATTAATTATATACAAGTAGAATTTGAAATCTCTTTTTATGTTTTATTGACTATCAAAAGGCCTTCAACAAAGTAAAACATGATAAGCTGATGGATTGCCTTCACAAAAAGGGACTAGACGAGAACGATTTTAAAATTATCCAAACGCTGTATTTTAACCAAACTGCAGCAGTTAGAACAGAAGCCGGTGACACAGAAATATTCAATATCAAGCGAGGTGAACGACAGGGGTGTGTATTGTCACCACTACTTTTCAATATATATTCGGAAGAAATCTTTGCACGAGCACTAGAGCAATCAAGAGAAGGTGTTAAAATTAACGGCAGAGTTCTAAATAATGTACGATACGCCGACGACACGGTCCTAATTGCAGAGAGCGCACAGGATCTCCAGACACTCTTAGATCGCGTCAGATCGATCGGAGAACAATACGGCCTCAGCATTAACGTCAAGAAAACAAAAACAATGATTGTCTCCAAAACCTCCATCCATCCACCCATGGCTTTAAACGTGAATGGTAATATTATCGAAAATGTCGAGAAATTTTGATATCTAGGGTACTGGATAACGAAAGATATAGATCCAGACATAGAAATGAAATCGCGAATTGAACAAACAAGAAATGTCTTTTTAAAAATGAAACAAATGTTTACGTCCCAAACACTCAATCTCAAAATCCGATACCGAATGCTGAAATGTTACGTTTACAGCACCTTAATATATGGAATGGAGGCCTGGACCTTCAAAATCAACTCACTTAGGCGTTTGGAAAGTTTTGAAATGTGGTTATTTCGAAGGATGCTAAAAGTCCTCTGGACAGCGCATATGAGCAACGAGCAGGTCCTACACAAGATGGGTACCGACAGAGAACTCTTAAAAATAATGAAAACACGGAAAACCTCATATTTGGGACACATATACAGAAATAAGAAATACCAGCTACTGCAGCTTCTTATAGAGGGGAAGGTAGAAGGAAAACGTGGTCCTGGTAGACGGCAGGCGTCCTGGTTGAAGAACATTCGTGAGTGGACTGGTTTGGATTCTCAATCTTTAATAAGAAAAGCCAGGGACAGAAATGATTTTGCTGAGGTTATCGCCAACCTTCATTGAAGACGGCACCCAAAGATGAAGAAGAAAATTTGAAAAACGTACAGAATATTACAGTTAGCTAAAAGTAGTATTAGTATATTTAAATATTACATTTTTTATGCCTCAATATGCGTTTATTAGTGAATGCAATTTTATTTTTTTAAAAAGGTTTGAATTTTTTTGATAACACCACATGGTAAAAACGTAAGTTAGATTTTATGATATTTTTTGCTATGGCTTTGTCATTTTACACATAGCAACATAGGTCACAGCATGATATATTATACCATTTTCACAGATTTATAGTCCATTAATGTGAAGGGAGAAGCGTAAGAAGAAGACGCGTTTCCTGGTTGAATGGTTTGGTGGCAGCTCAAGGCAATGGTTCAGAGCAGCTGCCTCGAAGGTCAGAATAGCCATGATGGTTGCACACCTCCGTTGAGGAGACGGCACTTAAAGAAGAAAAATGTGTAGGGGTGGTTGGTATAAGCTTACGTTCAACTTTCTTAAGTCACCCCTCTTTTTCCCCGGGCGCCATATTTAAAAAGGGGAAAAGTACATCGTACCAATATTATTTCAAGATAAGTTTTTTTGGTAATGGAAAGAAAAAAACACCTTAAGAGACTCTCTTTAATCTGCTCTATTGGAAATAGGTTTTAGTGTCGACCAGACTGAATCTGATGTAGATACGGTCATCATCCGTTCTGCGCTTGCATTCCAAGACTATGATTTTGTGACTGCTGTAGCAGACGACATCAATATTCGTGTTTTGCTCATGGCATAAGAAAGGGAGCAGATCAATGCTGTGTATCAAAGGTGTTCAATTTTTTTAAACCTTTAAATGGGTGTAAGTCGCATCAATTATTCTGTCCTTTAAGTTTTATATATGATGAGGTCACTGCAGAGAATTTGCTACTTCTCCATACGGTTTTAGGATGTGACAAAACATTAGAAGCTCAAAAGATCGGCAAACTTCAATTCATTAAAATTTTATAGAAACATCCTGTGTTAGATAGAGGAACAGCACAGAAAATTAATAATATACAAATCATGAATGTGTTGCTTGTGTGAGTCCATTTCAAATAGGTGAAGAAATAATAAATAAGACTTACTCACAATCAATTTAATTTAACTATCAGATGAGCGGTTTCGCTTTCTACAATATGCAAAGCATCTTCAGGTCTCGATACAAAGTTAAATAAATGCTGAAATGATAAAAACCCATATTAGGGTGTTGTCTAATAACGATAAACAAAGTAGGTGTTGTAAATTACAATAATTATGCCAATATTACATGTCTGTGGTTTTATTTAAATGAGTAAGTTGAATAAAAAGGTACAAACATTTTTAAAAAAAGTTAAACAGACAAGGTAAGGCCCACAATTTGTTATAAAATAGTCTCTTCGATTGTAATAAATTAATAAATGAGCAAATAAATAAATAAAATAAACATTACTTACATGCCGGTACTCTAGTAATAGATGGATGGTAGAACATGGTTGAAACTACTTTATATTGTTGAATGGAGAACTCAATTCTATCACTGCAGTTGTTTGACAGTAAACGGGAAGTTCTTGAGGAGATAGATTTGATCCAATGAATTAGAGATATGTGTGAGATTGTTTGTTAAATGTAAGTGTGTAATATACTATTTTTGTATTAAAGGCTATTTATACTTATTCCAGAGATATATTTTTAAAATGTGTGTTATTTATTGGTAATTGTTTTTTTGAAGAAGACAGTTTTATGACAATGAATAGGTGTAGATGTAAAGATTGTGTGGGTGTGCAATTATTTTCACAACTTGTAGTTATCAAATTACTTTGATAAAGTTCTATTGGCAATGAGTTAATTATTGGAATAGTCAAGTAAATAAAATGTTAAAATACAGACAATTAAGGATAATTTAAACACACTAAAACAGAAAACACTTAGAAGGGACGAAACAAACATTGAATTTAAAAGGGGGAAGGACTTTATTGCACTCCATCATAGTCTTGGGCACAATGAGTTTTTTTATGTTGTATCTATTAGTTTTTAGTGGTAAATTTTGACAGATGTAGGTTAGCATGTGACAGTTCTTCTTCTGTTTCTCAATACTGTAAGTTAAGGTGTTTATAGTTTTATTAATAATAATTATTAATAATAATATATATAATTTAATTAATATAAGTTATTTATATTTTTTTAAATATCTCTAAAAAAATATCTCTAATAATTAAAAAATACCCTGACAGATAACTCATACCTACAACAATTTCAAATAAAAAATAAAATGCTTTGTAAACTTTTTATACATTTGATTATTAAATGTACTTGTTCAGTTGATAAGGAATTACTTTAATTTAAATTGTTCAGTTATTTGGACATTAGATTGAGTTAGTTATGTTATATTGTAAGATGTATTTCAATTATCCATATTGTTACATTAAATTTGATTAATTAAAGATTGTTAAAGTATGCCAATATTAACCACATCTATTTACTTTTGATATCTAAATTGAAACAATTTTATAGACATTCATTAATAACAGCATATTTCATGAAACTAGATAACTTAACTTACAGTATTGAGAAACAGAAGAAGAACTGTCACATGCTAACCTACATCTGTCAAAATTTACCACTTAAACCTAATAGATACAACATAAAAAAACTCATTGTGCCCAAGACTATGATGTAGTGCAATAAAGTCCTTCCCCCCTTTTAAACTCAATGTTTGTTTCGTCCCTTCTAAGTGTTTTCTGTTTTAGTGTGTTTAAATTATCCTTAATTGTCTGTATTTTAACATTTTATTTACTTGACTATTAGAATAATTAACTCATTGCCAATAGAACTTTATCAAAGTAATTTGATAACTACAAGTTGTGAAAATAATTGCACACCCACACAATCTTTACATCTACACCTATTCATTGTCATAAAACTGTCTTCTTCAAAAAAAAAACAATTACCCAATAAATAACACACATTTCAAAAATATATCTCTGGAATAAGTATAAATAGCCTTTAATACAAAAATAGTATATTACAACACTTACATTTAACAAACAATCTCACACATATCTCTAATTCATTGGATCAAATCTATCTCCTCAAGAACTTCCCGTTTACTGTCAAACAACTGCAGTGATAGAATTGAGTTCTCCATTCAACAATATAAAGTAGTTTCAACCATGTTCTACCATCCATCTATTAATAGAGTACCGGCATGTAAGTAATGTTTATTTTATTTATTTATTTGCTCATTTATTAATTTATTACAATCGAAGAGACTATTTTATAACAAATTGTGGGCCTTACCTTGTCTGTTTAACTTTTTTAAAAATTTTATACCTTTTTATTCAACTTACTCATTTAAATAAAACCACAGACATGTAATATTGGCATAATTATTGTAATTTACAACACCTACTTTGTTTATCGTTATTAGACAACACCCTAATATGGGTTTTTATTATTTTAGCATTTGTTTAACTTTGTATCGAGACCTGAGGATGCTTTGCATATTGTAGAAAGCGAAACCGGTCGTCTGATAGTTAAATTAAATTGATTGTGAGTAAGTCTTATTTATTATTTCTTTAACTATTTAATAATATACAATTGAAATTTTTAGTAAAAAGTAGAGAAGTGGAATCTTACATACCTTTCAACAGAGGCCTGATAATTAGTTGAATCAAAACCTCCTAGGGCGTATATGCAATTTTCTAAAAATAAATGTATGTTAAAAATATGATTAATTCTAAAAATTCTGAAAAGTAAAAAAGTAAAATGTTAAAAAGTTCATAATTTTAATTTAAAAAACTGATACATACCAACCACAGCTATTCTACAATATCTTCTTCTTGTATTCATGGCAGGACAACTACACCAAATTCCTGTTAACGGATCAAACCTTTCCATAGAACTTAAGCATGATGCACCATCATATCCTCCACAGACATAAATAAGCCCATCAAAGGAACATATACCTTTAATTTAAAAATAGAATAAATCCATAAAGCAAACTAATATATAAGATAAGAATTTTATAATGTTAGGACTAAATTCAAATCACCTACCAAGACATGACCTTTTAGTGCCCATGGGTGTAATGGAAGACCATGAGTTGTTCAGTGGATTATAACATTCAGCTGTTGCTAGGTCCGATGCTCCATCATAACTAAAAATTTATTTACATAAATGCATAATATTTAAATAAATGTATTTACATGCATAAATTAGTCAAACCTTTCGCATTTGAATCGGTATTATTAGAGCAATATCGACCCGGTTGAAGGCTCTTTCAAAATCTATAAATGCGACCTGCGTTTCTTAATTAAATTATTTTTGTTTCTTGATAATGTTAAGATATTTAATATATTATTTTTGTGTTTAATTTTTAATTTAAAAACGATTTTGAAACTGGAAGGTAAAATCACGTCAAATAAAAATTTCTAATTAGGTTTGATTAATTGTACATTTTTCTTCGGTTGTGGAATAATTTTTAAATGTATTAATATTTAACATTACAGAATAATATTAACCTACCCTCCGACAACATACAGCAATCTCCTCAGTCCAGTAACTCCCGATCTAGATCTACGCCATTGCATTGGAGCTATCGTAGACCAGGAGTCATTTTTAGGGTTGTACACTTCGCATTCGGAATGTATAGCAAAAAGAGATCCGCCGCCTGAAAAAAATATTTAAAAATTAAACAAAATAGTTTACAAAATACACTAGAGTATAATAGGCAAGCATTTCTGTGTCTGATTGACCTAAAGAAAGCCTTTGATAGAGTAAGAGTCAGAGATGTAATCCATATTTTGTATAATAAAGAAGTTCTTCTAAATATTATAAAAACTATCGAAAACATCTACCAAAACCACAAAATGGAAGTCAGAATAGATGGAAAACTTACAGAACCTACAGAAATAGGCATCGGAATACGACAGGGGGATTCATTGAGCCCCATACTCTTCAATTTAATCATGAATAAAATACGTTAAAAACGAAAGACGATATCAAATGCGAAACAGAGAAATAAAAATACTCTGAAACGCAGACGATGCAATATTAGTAGGTAATCCAAAATAAAGATAGTCTGCAAGAAGCTCAAGAAGAAGACTGGTTCACACATAAGAGCAAAAGAATTTAATATAAAAAAAAAGAAGAAGAAGTTTACAAAATAACACCCATACTTAACACTTACAAAAGTATCACAGATATATAGATATACAACTTAAAAGTACAATTGTAAGATAAGCCACCATACAACAAAAATTTATAATTCTGTTTCTGATTAAGTTCGAAAAAACATAAATACAGGTCGATTTTTATTTTCATTGTAATTTTTTGTTGCACATCTAATTTTCTTGTTATATTTGTCAAAATTACGAAGTCATCGACTTTATTTGTCATTATCATCAGCCTGTATGCGTCCACTGCTGGACATAGGTCTCCATCAGCTCTTTGTGTCTCTGTCTGTGCGGTTTGCATCCAGTTACCACTAACATGCTTCAGATCATCAATCCATCTGATTAGTAAACTTCCTCTTCTCCGTAGTGCTTCTTATCTTGGCCTCAACTTGACAATACGTATTGTTCAAAAATTACCATTTTTTTTTGTTAGCTTATATTTGATTGAAGAAATGAACAGAAGAGACAAATTCAGCAGTATAGGGTTTAGCCATTCTTTTCTTATTACTTTATGAAATACTCAAATATACATATAATAATACACTACAAGAAAAATGGTAATAAACAAAGGACGAACGATCAAAGGAAAGACATTTTTTCTGACAGTGGCCAATTCCATCGTTGACATTCTGAATGGTATTGGAGTAATGTTTCAAATTTCTTCCCTAATACTTTGTTTCAGCTCTTCAATGTTGTCTGGCGTATTTACATCGACTTTGATTTTTAAATAACCCCACATCCAAAAATCTAAGGAGGCTAAAGCCGGAAAACAAGGTGTTCATTCGATAAACTTCCATCGATTTGGAAATATTCCTTGAAAATTATTCCGCACATCATTCCCAAAAAGAAGCAGGGCACCGTCCTGTTAAAACCAGATGTTATTGGATTTAAATCCAGATCATATTCATTAGAAAACATGATTGTTAAGGCTGGGACAGTCCAGATGTAAAAAGTCTTAGATAACTTCTGCATTCAAGGTTCCATCGAGAAAATAGTCACCATCCGATTTACAATAATCTCAGGTGATATATTAACTTTTTGTGGCAATTTTCTATGCCCTTCTGGAAATCAATGTGGATTTTTTTATTTTTATATAATTTTCTGTTAGTATTGGCTTTTATCTATAATTACAGTTTCGTTGCCCTTGTTAGCTGGTAATATTAATATGAGCTCATCTTCTTTTAAAGCTTAAATAGCTTTGAGTTATTCTTTACTAACATTTGCTTTTGACTTTGTGCTCTTCTCCAATTTCTTTTTGCATTCTTCTTCTTCAGATGCAAATCCACTAATGGATGTTAGCGATCACATTTTCAATTAATTCTCTATTTCTTGCAATATGTATCAGAGATTGTATGTCGTTAATCCCTGTCCATTGCCTTATGTTTCGGAGCCAGGACATTTTCTTGCGTCCCATTCCTCTCTTGCCTTCAATTTTAACCCTCGATTATAAGTTGGAGGAACTGGTATTTTTTGATGGTTTCAAAAAGTTGTCGTTCTTGGTTTATTCTTTTAAGGACATCTATATTTGTGATTTTCGCTGTCCATGTATTTTTAGGATACGGGATAAAGCCACATTTCGAAAGCTTCCAATCTGTTTATATCCCTCGTTTTGAGCGTCCAGCCCTCTACGCCATATAGAAGCACTGACCATACGTAACACTTAGTAAACCTTAGTCTCAGTTGAAGATCGAACTCTGAACAAGTCAGTACCTTCTTGAATTTTACGAAAGCTTGTCGAGCTTGCTCATTGCGACATTTTACTTCCCTGTCCGATGCCCAGTCTTCAAAAAGCCACGATCCCAGGTATTTAAATTTACTCACTCTTTCTATGGATTTACTATTCAGTGTTATGGTGGAGTTTTCAAGTGCATCCAAGTTTCTGGAGATGATCATGAATTTGGTCTTTTTGGTATTAATCTCTAGTCCCATTCGCTCACTGTATTCTCCGATTATAGTGACAAGTTGTTGAAGATCGACTATGTTGTCACAAATTAAGACACCATCATCTTTTTGCATAGGCCTATATATTCTTTGTTTTTATGTCTTTTTAGTACTTGACAGAGTTTTTCAACTACAATGATTATGTTTAGTTTAGGAACTGTTAGGTGCGTAATAGTATAATTTAGATAACTAGCTTTCCATTGAGTTCAAGTTTCTCTTTGATAGGAGACACCTGTTGTGCTGGTAATTGATAATTATCAAAAATGATCATGTTTATATATTACCAAATAAATCAATTGATATGTGTGATTGTATATGTGCAGTAAATACACAAATTTATAACTATAATTAAAGTGAACTTACCGACAGCGAACAGATACGGTTGAGCACCATTAGGTTTTCGTTCTAACGTTCTAGAACTAGATAAGACACACCTTCGTTCGGGAGCTAAATGATACCTCATGGCTTCTAGTAATAGCTCTCTGCAGTCGTTGTTCTCTCTGATAAGTTTTTCGTTGTCTACTCGTGTCATTAGAAATTCTCTGTTTACTAGGGGTAGTCGAACGTGTTGCATCAGCTAAAATAGAAAATTAATTCGGCTTTATATAGTTATACTTACAATAAATAAAATAATTTCTTAATATGTAGTATACATTTTATTTTATAATAATTAAGGTAGCGGTGCCTTTACTAAAAATCACCGGTATAAAAATCCCTATTACTACTAAACTAAATATACCAGCGACTGATATTCTTATGTTATGGATGCTCCAGATCTTCAGTTTATATACAGTTCATACACGGGAGTAGCCAGTTATTAGTTTGGGAGAGGTTTAAGAAAATAAAATGACTAAAAGTACATAAACCCTTTATTATGCTAGCTAATGTCTACTGCTGATCATAACATTAATTCCCAATCATTACAATTGACTCAAAAATCTACCAGCAAATTAAAATTAACCCAAAGAAAATGGTAATAGCAATGCTAGGGACAAGAAGACACAATATACCAAAAAGAATAGTAAAAAAAATGACTGAGACCCCAGATGTCATAGAAAATATTGCACAAGATAAATAAAGATGATATAGCACTTTTAAATAATAATAGGTGGACAAAAATACTCATAGATGTAAACCTAAAGGAACCAAAAGACACCGAGGCAGATCACTATCAAGATAGATGGATGGACGAGTTATAAAAAGCAGCAGGAAATTAGATGCAGAAAGCACAGGATAAAAAACTGTGGCATTCGATGGTGAAGATGGTGATGTCCAACAGTAGATGTAACAGGTTAGCAGATAATAGTGATAATGATAATGATAATAACTACAGATATTAGTGTAGTAATATATCTAAAGTATACTATCTAAAGCTAATTGATTTTTCATCTCCATACATTGTATTAGCCGACGACCAGGTGATTTCTGTATATTAGTAGGAATTCCACAGTATTAAACGAAAGCTCAAGACTTCCCTAGACATAGAGTTATACCCCTCAAAAATACAGGGAAAGTTTACACAAGTTACCTTACATCCAAATACACGCACATAGAAAAGTGAGCTGCAGGTCACTTGACAGGAAGAGTCCTTTTAATACACAGACAAAATAAATACTAAGCAGTCTCGTTGATTAAGTCTCTAATATAAAAGCATCATTGTGACAAAAAGTTGTCACCAAAAAACGGCTTACAAAAATGTCTGGAAGTAGTAGCAGCGAATGATCTGACTCTGGCTTAGGCAATGAGTAGGCAAGCATAAACTCGTGGGCAATTTGCTTTTAATTAAATTATTAAATTAAACTACATTGACTTTTAGTAAGTTATAGATTCGACTGTTACTTTATGCAAACTCATTTTATCTAAAAATAAAGCACTGAAAACTTTTGTTTTCCCCAAAATTTATTATTACCACAGCTGTTTCTGTAGACTGCATTTCTCAAGTGATCTATTTTTGTCTTTAGTTTATGATTTTGTTGATAAACTTATTTGATATCTCCTATATTTACAGATTGTGGACTTTGTCACAAAAGTTGATCACCTTGTATAAAGGAAAATGTTGAGTAAATACAATTTTACTACGTACTATATTGATTTTTACTTACTCTTGATATATATTTACTTCTTTCTGCTAGATCATGCTTCACCCAATTCAAAACGGCGGTGAATACATCTTCTTCGGAAGAAATGTTTAACTGGCTATTTGATATCAATTCATTTACCTAAAAATACAATATTTAGTTTATTACATTTTTAATATAACATTAGGGACTAGCATGCCGGCGATTACACTTTCGTCCAATATAATGAGTATCATAAACGAAGGTATACATTTTCGTCCAAGCGCCTAAAATTGAGGACAAGTTCGTCCAAAGGGCCAGGTAAATTTTCGTAACGCTTTTTGAAAGAAGAAATTAATATTAAATATATAAATATGTACGAATCTTCGAGTTCATTTGTGAAAATATTGTCAAAGCGTGTATATTGCTACAGTCTTGTATTGTGTTATGAAAATCATTTATTCTTGAAACGTTATGGAGAATCGACAAATGTATAGTGGTGAAAAAATGTGCAACGAAAAGAGGTGCTTCTCTTTTATTCGTGAATAACTATAAATTCAATTTTGCCGAAAAATTAAAAAGTGGAGAATCACGCTGGAGATAAGAACCTTGCTAAGCAAAAGCAGCCTTAACTTAACGCTTCGATATCGCTTTGTAAAATGTTACATTTATTCCATACTGCTATATGGTTTATAACCTGGACGATAAAGGCCAATGTGATAAAGGGATTGGATAAAAAGAAGGAAAACTGCTTATCTGGGTCATATATTTTAAAATTACAAGTACCAGTTCTTCAAGCTTATTATGAAAAGGAAGATAGAAGGGAAACGGGGCATCGGAAGAAAGAAATAGTCATGGCTTAAAAACATAAGGGATTGGACAAACCTCGATGCCCCTGCACTCTTTAGAGCCATACAAGATCGAGAGGAGCGTGCCAGAATTGTTGCCATCATTTACTAATTGGATAGGGTACCATAAGAAAAAGATATTGAAGAAGAAACCGGCTTTAAAGCCTACATAGAAGAAGGAAAAAGAAGAAGCAAAAGAAAAAAACAATTTTTGGATATTACTACCATCTGGTCTTTCAAAAAAACACTGTTTTTAAACACTATATCATCCTCTGATCGTACCACGGGACCTGCCGATCTTATTCGGTTTGCCTTGATATGTCTAAAATTATGTTTTCAGATTCATACGGAGTTACCAATTCAGCATTGCGGCGTCTTCTCCAATCCCCTGTGAATTCCTCTCTTTAAGGGCCAAATATTATTCTTAAAACCTTTCTTTCAAATACTAGAAAATAAAAAAATAAAAAATACTAGAAAAAAGTGTAAAAGGTTTCCTTCTTTTTTTAACAACTCTCCATTTATCCCATCTTTTCCTGGCGCTTTATGGTCTTTTAGAGATGCGATCGCATTCTTTACTTCCTCAAGTGTTGGTTCTGGTATTTCGATATCTGCAGAATAAAATGTAATATCTGCTTCATCCGTCTCACTTACAATATTTTGTAAATTCCGAAAGTATTCCTTCCATCGTTCGACGATTTTCGTTTCTATCAATAAATTCACCTGCTTCATTTCTAATACGCTGTGTTGCTCCAATACTTGCACATTTTCTGACTGACTTCACTTCACTAAAGAAGTTCCTTATTTGATTCCTCAATTTCACCTAACACTAGCATTTGACATGACATAAAATTTATTTTTAAATATATTTATTAGCAATTAGGATACATCAAAACTATTTACACTGAATATTAACTACTATTATTCTCAATATGAGACTATCAAGTAGGACCTATCCTTGAATGGGACTTCACCACAACATTATATTAGCTTAAATCTTTGTCGTTATCAAATACGCCTGTATAATATAAAATTTTGAATATTTTGTATACAATTTATATAGTAAATAATATCAGTGTAATATATATGTATTAAAAGTTTTAAATCAATAAAATAGTAATGGTCGTTAAAATAATTTTTATTACCTCTTCAAATGGTAGCAAAAGAAACTCCTCAGTACCTACAACTTGCTGAAAATTTTGCAAGGCGTAGACATGTGACTTAAGATGAAGTTCTTTGCAGGAGTGTGTATCTAGAAAAAGGCAATGTTAGTTTGCTAATAAAATTTTTAATTGGAAAAGGAAAACTTTTTAAAATAGGCTAATGTAAAATGTTTCATTTTGTTAATCATTGAAATGACATAACCAATAAAAAATAACTTCGGTTATACATTTTTCCAGAATATGTATACTAATCTCTTTTTTGAAAACTATTTTTGGAGAGGAAAATGTTGGTAAAAAAGTGGAAGGTGGAAATTACAGAAAACTTTACATACAAGTTAAGTTCTCCTTAATATCATTAGAAATCAAATCATTACATAGATATCAATTGAAAGGCGAAAAATGTTTCTGCCTCCTCAAGAAATATAGATTTGATTTTTTTCCATTTTTATAAAGACGAATAAAATTGGCTATCTTTAGGTGCTCTAGAAATATAGCTTTTTCAAAGTAATCATTAATTAGTGGGACCAGGACATTCAACACATATTTTGGCAGATTTAAGAACATTTTTATAGATAGTCCAGCAGTACTACAGGATACAGATTTGTTTTCGATACTATTGATAGTTTGGATTAGTTCAGATTTATTAACTGGTCTTATGAAGAATGAATTCGAGACCTTTTTTGAATTGGAGAGATAGGAAATTGGATCTTGTTGTGTCAGTATAGTTGATGCTATATCTTTACTCCCATTAATTATTAATTTTTACGGTTTGAAAGAAAAAATGTTTGACGTGCTAGTTTTATTTCAAAGATCGTTTATTATAGACCACGTTTCATTTGCAAGACTTTTAGAGCTTATCAGACGATTTTGATAATAGGTTTTTTAGCTGTTTTGATAAGTTTTATATAGGCTTCTTTGTACAGTGATATATTCAATCACAGAGACGTTGGTAGTAAACTTTTGATGAATAGTACCTTTGAAGTTCAGGGATAGTGATGTTTTGGCTAAATTATAATTAAAGGAAATGCCTTATTGAAAATACAGATAAACCTATTTAAAAAATCACTGAAATTATAGTCCATGTCCACGGAAGGAAAGTGCCACCCAGAAGTGAAGTATAAAATTTGGAATTTACGAAAGTTCTGAGCAAAAGGAATCTTACCGAAACATCAGATTTTCAAGCCAAGTTTGTTAATAGCGTTAAACTTGGTATATATTGCTTCAAAATCAGATATTCCTGCATTAATAATTGTGGAATGTACATCAAGGAGTGAGAAATATGAGACAATATAATCAATTATGGTAGATGTTGTTTTAGTAATTATTGTAGAAGAATTAATTAAGATTCAAATATATAGATTCGTGGTGTGATCTGAAACAGTCAGGTGATCTATAAATGCAACGAACGTATAGATTATTATTCTTATTGTAAACTAAGGAAAACTTCAACAGAAATTCATATTTTGTTACCGGCCTAAGCAATTTATAAAATGTATTAAAATAAACACTTACTTATAAACGTATTCTATACAAACCTGCAAAACTTCTAATCCCTAAACAGTTCGTTGGATGTAGCTGCCGCAACAAAAACCTACAACATGCCTCTCTAACTTCCTGCATTTGTAACAGACTACTTGCTGGTAATAGCACTTGAACATTATCTGGTGTAACTGTTATTTGGCCTGTATAGGCATACTCAATTAGGAGATCGATTGCTGCAGGGTCGAGATCGTGGATCTCTATTTCTGATAGCAGATGTTCTTTCATATCTCCTACAAAATGGCAATCTCGAATTGTAAAAAATTTGTTTCTCTCAATTGTTAATAAAGTTTAGAATTTTTTGTTTAATTAGTATTACATATCGTAACTATAGGTTGTAAAAGAAGGACTAGGTTTCGTGAATAGAATTTGGTATTGGTTTTTATTATTTTAAATAAACGAATGTTACATTTGTGCAATCGATTTTGAAAAGGCTTTTGACAAAGTCCGACATAACAAAATGCTAGAAATATTGGAAAAAGCTGGATTGGACGATAAAGATCTACGAATAATTACAAATCTATACTAGCATCAAATGGCAAGAATCAAGGTTGAACAAGAACTGTCGGATGAAATAAATATAAAAAGAGGAGTGAGAGAAGGTTGTATATTGTCGCCTTTACTTTTTTACTTATATTAAAGGAAATAGTTAAGGAAGCCTTAATGGAGACAACCGAAGGTATTATTGTGAATGGAGTAACCGCCAACAATATTAGATATGCCGACGATACCTTAGTGCTTACTAATTGCGGAGAAGACCTTCAAAATCTAATGAACAAAATAAAACAAACTTGTGATCAGTATGGATTAAAACTCAACGTTAAGAAAATTAAATATATGATAGTTAGCAAACAAAATTAGATACAGGATGACAGTATAAAAGTCGGAGATGCCACACTGGACAGAGTAGAGAAACTCGTGTATCTCGGAAATAATATAAATGAGAACTGGGATCCAACGGCAAAAGTTAAAAACCGAATAGAACAAGCTCGAGCTGCGTTTGTAAAAATGAGAAACGTACTTTGCAGTGACTATCTCAGCATTGGCCTCAGAGTTCGAATGACATCTGGCTACATCTTTCCTGTCCTGCTGTATGGAGTGGAAGCGTGGACTCTAACTGAGGCTATCCTTAAACGCTTGACAGCCTTTGAGATGTGAGTATACAGACGACTACTGAAAATAAGCTGGGTCGACAGAGTGAGAAATGAGGAGGTCCTTAGACGGCTAAACCAAACAACACAACTGGTCAATATAATAAAGAAACGCAAGCTGGAATACTTCGGTCACACTATGAGACACCACCCTGAAAAATATGATCTTGTACATCTGATCATTCAATAAAAGATCCAAGGTAATCGTGGTCCTGGTAGAAGAACATCATGACTGAAATATCTAAGGCAATGGTATGAAAAATCAACTACATCGTTATTTAGAGCTGCTGTCAATAAAGTCACGATAGCGAATATGGTAGCCAACATGATATCCAACGATCGATAACGGTCATGGAACTAGAAGAAGAAGAATGTTGCATGCGGTTAATTTATAGGCCCTAAGATATGCTACACAAATTATGGTAATAGAGCACCATGCATGCAGATGAACGCATATTTATGTCGAAGAAAATAAATAAGGGATAGGATCAAATTTGTCTATTTTATCTTCATGCCAAGATATTTGTGGTCTGTTTCAGCATAAAACCTTTACGCTTTATTTTTCATGGAGCTTAACACATTCCTACTAAATTTCTGTTTATAATTTAATATTTGTTTTGTTGATTTTCTTAGTTATTTGCTTAGTTAATAACTTCTTTGTATTGTAAGGTCTATAACATTTCTGAAAAATCTGATTTCACTACCTTGGATTCGGGAAATATATATTTGCGTTCTCCATCTTTTACATTAATATAGCAGATAAGTGTAGCTATTGTATTATCAAGTTCTATCATTGTACCGTTTCTTGTTTTATTCTTCAATATCTTGTAAAATGTTTCGTATATTTTCTTTGTCAACTTTGCACCTGATGTTTATTATTATTATTATCAAGCCTTAAAGTCTACTGCTAAACATATTCCTCTTTCTCGTGTTTCCAACCCCGTCTATCTTTTTTCCAACCCTGTCTAATTAAGTTTAGTGGTCCCACTATTCTCTGAATGATTATTCTTTCTAGGATACTCATTTCGACATTAAAAATTGTTTCGACGAAAGATTATTTAATCCATACTTAGCCAGTTCCAACGTCTGGTCCACTACTTGTGTTGTAGAAAGAAGAAAATTCACAACAGTGTATATAAAACATAGATCATTTTAAAATTCTAAACAGAAATATTACAAACATGCAAATTAGATAAATACTACTATATTTGAAAGAACTCTTACACTACATCTAGTACTACTACCTACTTACCATTAAACATTGCAAAAAAATATGGACTAACTGACGCTAGAACGACCTTATGGGCTCTATATTTTTCTAATCCTATTTTTAACGAAATATCACAAAGCTATAAAGAAAGAAAAATAAAAATTATCGATTATTATAGTATTTTGTTTTATTTAATTATCATAAAATGTTTGAAAAAATCTATGTTTTTAATTTTTTTAATAGTCCAATCACTCAAGTACCTCTGAGTATTAATAGCTCAAATAAACTTACTCTTGCAGACTTATTTCATTGAAAAATAAAGAATAGTCACGAATAATGGAAGTGTTTATTCATTCATTTTTATTAAAATCTATCCATTTGTAAATACTAATCTATAAACGATTATCAAATTTAAAAAATATATTTTTTGTTTAATCCTTTCAGGACCGAATATACTCCGCAGATATAAAAAACTTCTCAGACAAAAAATATAATTAGTAGTCTTATAATGAAGTTTATGTCAATAATCCCCAAAATTTACAGGACTTGAAAGATATAATTAGGCATGAAATAAGTCTAATTACTTCAGAAGTCCGTAGTGTCCGTAGATTTGCATATTGTCAAGAAAACGATGGATGGCATTTCGAACATTTAATTTAAAATAATTATTATGCATAATTCGGTTACTTTAAAGCACATTATGAATTAAATCATTAGTTGCAATTTAGTTGAATTTAAATTAAAAACAATTGTTTTTACACCCTTAAGAAAATATTTTAGTTAAAAATGTAATGTCGTTAAATAGAGAAATAAATTCTCGTTTAAATGAGGTGTCGCATTATACCGATTTCTATTTTAAAAAAATTAACGGTTACGTCACTACACCTACACCGGTGACATTATCCACTCTCCATGTAGGTTATAACATGGGTTTTATAACAAAAATCGATCTGTTTGGGGATGTCCCCCAAAACTCGACGGTTCTCGAAATAATGATAATATTCCATAATTTAGCCGTTCACCGTATAATTAATTTTCATGGTAGAACATGGGATAACTGTGATCCAGTAGTGTTTTATATATTTTATCACTTGCAGTGATTATAATAACTTGATCACTCGCTATAGAAACTGAAATTGTAGTGCTTTTTTTTTAATCCAATATTCTACTACAAGCTACGAGTTAAAATGATCTTATCTAAATCCCCTCTCAAATGTGCAGCTTCAATAAAATTTTGCTTCAATTTCCACCTAATCTCCGTTCATAAAATCACATTTTAATTCCACTTTGCTTTAGGGATTTATTTTTTTTCCAGGAAAGTAATAGCGTATACGAATCGAGTGTTGCACGTTAATCAGTAGCTAGCTGTCTGGTCGGAAAATAGATTGGATGTTTTTGGATGTAAAAACTTCGTCAAGTGCCGAAGTTTTCGATCGTTCTTTTCGAAGGGCTAATTTCAATGGAATTCGGAGAAAGTTTTTTATAAGTAATTGAATTAAAATATAGAATACATTTCTAAAGTTGTTTGTCTGTAAGCTTTCTTGTTAGAATATATTTTTTGGAAAAAATTACAAAAATAAACTCGTTACTATTAATGACTGGATTCTCAAATCAAACATGTTATCAGTATATGAAGAAAATGTTATAAATTCTCCTGATTGATAACGTTAAACATATAATAAAATAATTATATCCCACTTTTATTTGCCCTTTAGAACCTCTAACAAATAAAAATTTGAACGTTTTATAACACAATTTGCCCAATAACATACCTACCTATAAGAAAAATCCAAACGAATTGTTTGAAGAGAATATCCACTTGAAAAGTGAAGACTATCGTTCAGTCAGGAAAAATCCAATGCGCAATCAAAGAAATGGAACGCATGAAAATAGAAATAATGGTCACAAGCGAAATGTGGTGGCCACCAATACTGTGACATAGAAGAATACAGCATTTATCGGAATTATCGCACATAAAAGTACAGCCAAACATTCCAAACTTCATACCAGTGAAAGATAGAATCCTCTTGTTACAAATAAATGCGTCAACAATGAACACTAACATTATATAAGTCTATGAACCCACAGCAGACCACATTTCTACTACTACTAAGGATTTCCACAGTTTTCACTGTCTTCCTTCACTCAATCGTTTTCTCCAATTTTCCCTGTCATTCCAGTCTCCATCTCGCAGGGTTCTTTTCCTCCATAGCCTCATCGATTTCGTCTCTGAATGACCTTCGGGATCTTCCTCTCTTTCTTCTTCCGATCGGGCTCCATTCTGTGATTTTGTTTATCCAGCGTCTTCTGTCCGCTCTTCTGACGTGGCCATACCAGGATAGTCTCTTCTCCTCTATATAGTCGATTATGTCTGATTGCACTCCCATTCTCCGCTTAATCTCTGCATTTTCAATTCTGTCTCTTTTTGTAAGTCTACAGCTTCTCCTCAGGAACTCCATTTCTACTGCTCTTATTCTACCTCTATTTCTCTTGTTTATTGTCCAGTTTTCGGACCCATATGTCAGGATACTTTTTGTCAGGGTATTATATATTCTCTTTTTTGTCTTTATATACATTATTAAATATTAGAGTTTTACAAAAAAATAAGCAAAATTATAAGAGATATACTGAGACATGAGCTTCTTATAGCCATGGGAGATTTCAATGCTAAAATAGGTAACGGAAAAGAAGGGCAACATATTGGTCCTTATGAATTAGAAGAGAGAAAAGAAACGAGGAAAAACAATGAGTATTTTTGCAACTGAACATGACTTAATGCCAAGAAAAGTGGCAGAAAAAACCCTACGAAAAACAAAAAAATAAATGATTTCTGATTTCTACCAGCAAAGGAATGCCATGTACAAAACAAGAAACCCCCTTACACTCTTTCACTCCTAATCAGGCTTGGAAATCAATCAAAAACAAGACAATATAAACCGTCTGTAATAAAAGCGAAATATATAAGCCAAAAATCCGAAAGATTATAGAGAAATGTTCAGGAAAATAAAGAACTATTCCAAAAGGGTGAAAATACAATGGATTGACTTACCATTAGAGTAAGTCAATACTAGTACTTAGAGGCCCACCTTCAAATACTAGCGAAAAGGACATTATATTTACTTGACTAAAAAGGACTTAATGATAGAATATGGCATAGCACCATCACCCAACAGCAAAGCGGATAGAAAATCTTATGTCCATGAAAATTGTCATAAAAGATTTAATAAAAAGACAGGGACCTACACAGTACTTTAATTGCCAAGGTTATTACCATGCCCAAAACGCATGTTTTCTGTGGGTGCCGTCTTCTTGGCGAAAAATGGCGATGACCACTGCAAAGACTGACCTATTTTGGCCTTTCCTTATTAAACTTTGAAAGTCTAATCCTGTCCAATCTTTGATGTTGCGCAGTCAGGTCATTTGTCTTCTACCTGGGCCGTATCTGCCTTCTATTTTCCCTTCTTTAATAAGCTGAAGGAAGTTATACCTGTCGTGTCTAAATATGTGTCCACCCATGCTTTAAGGACGCCAAATGCGTGAAATGTAGCGTAGACCACAGCAGCAAAGAGTGCAAGATGGCCCCGGAATAACTACGGCCAGATCGTCCCTCCTGAAAAGACCCCAGAGACAATAAGCTCTTACAATCAGGAGGCAACAACCGGGCCATCATAGTCATAATCCATGAAGCTCCAATAAAAGCAAAACATTATCCTGATCTCCAAACAATAACAGGACGGACTAGTAAATACGAATAAGCTATACGAGGCGATATCTATACGAGGAGGTAGATGACAGACCTTTAAAATGAGTTTGTCAACAACCCTCCTTTCTATTACAGATATTGGGGGTTGTGTCCGCCCCTGCTGCGAGTGTTGATGTAATTTAGTTAAAAACTTGTCAATGTAATTTCTTTCTTACAAATAAATTTGATGTATTTTGCATATTTTTAGATTTCTATAGAGACCAAATTATAGAGGGTGATAACTTTCAATTTAACACACTGTATATAATATAATTAAAGCCGCTCTTTTAATTTTCTAATTTTTATTTCAGATTTCGTTTACTCTTAATTTTATTATACTGCTTAGTGGCCATCAGAAAAATAACCAAAAGTGATAATTTATATAAAAAGAAACAGTAAATCTCTAAATTGTTATAAAACACAGATTTACAACCTTTATTTACGTCATTTCCAGCGAAAGTGTTAAAAATAAATACATCAAGTACTTGCACTTAAGACAAAGTTATTTTAGCAAGGTCTGGACCATTGAAAATAGGTCGATCGTTATCCCGTAACACGATTTTCCAATGTTTCGTGGACCTTCGAATATATTGCGGTTCCCGTTTTATGGCTAGTCGTTTTAGATTGGTGTTGGTCATGTCTAATGTACTTTTTATGTGAACTCGAAGTTACTCAACTTTTTTCATTTATATAATAGCGGCTGTGTCTATGGTATTGGGGAAATACAAAATGTTTGAAATTGACATGCCTGAGGATATTAACAGTTATTTATATAACAAAAGTATTAAGTAGATATTTATGCCTAAGTCGCCTGAAGTTTTATCTTAATGTATACGGTGCATACAAACTTTTATGTCATACTACTTTGTTATTGTAGTCATAATCTAAATATTTTTAAAATTTTTTTTAAAATTTAGAAAATTTTCCATTGTAGAGTAGGCAATATCGTTGTTAGGGTATTAAAGTCAAACATAAATAACCATCTACTGCTCCTTACCTTCCTGTTGGAATAATTTCTATGTTACTTAAAATAATACCCAACTTCTGGGCTTCTTATCTTTCTATTCAGGTCTATTAATTGTTACAAACTATAAGAAACGGTATATTGCAGAGGTGGTCCACAGAGAAGTAGAAACTTATAACAAAACTTACTTAAGTGATTTTAATTGAACGCTTGAGAGTCTTGTACGCCCCTGAATAATGACACGGGTGTTACAATTCATTTGGACAAGGAGGATTAACTCTTGTAATCAGGAGTCACTTCACCTTGCTCCAATGCTTTACACTATCCCTTTCCCCCTATGGCACTCTGATTCGCAGTAGGGGCACAACTATCAGCCAGATTCTCCCCCTTTGTACTATCAGCAGTTCGGCGACTTGGTGCTCGAGGATTTGGG